GATCTTTGCTTAAACTAATGGCTTTGACAAGTGATGTGTAAAAAACATAAAAAAACAAAAAAAAAAACCCATACAGCTTAAGGATACTGACGTTCCAAAATCTGGACATTACCAGAGTATGTTCTTTGGCCCCTGGGATCTTTCCGTAGAAAATATTGATTGACTGGGGGCTGAAATCAAAATCGGATGTTCACTGTGTGACTTAAAAGCACTAGTGATGAAATACAATGACTTCTACAAAAAAAAAAAAGAAGCAAAAACCATGTCACCCATTTATTCATTCTCTATCACCTAACAAGGAAAACAAATCTCTGAAAGTCAAATTGACCCTTCATGGGATAATGGATTTCTAAATGCTGAGTTCCTTCTTTTCAGCAAAGGGCTAATTCTGATGAAAACAGTATTCACAAAGTGGCATTCGGCAGGTCAGTGATATTAGTTAGACAAATGTTCTGTGTTAAGCCATGCGATATGACAGAGTGACAAGTTTTATGCACTGCCATAGGCAAGCACATTCAGATTCTCAGAGCCTTATTCTAAGTTGGAAGAATGGGTTTGGGAACAAGGACCTTGGGGGTGCCAGTAACCACACAGGGGTCAGGGACAAAATGGTACACAAGCTGCAACATGAGGTGTTCAGCAGGTCCACAGTCCAATAATAACTTGGACACACTCTTTGTTATGGCACTGAAATTCCCTAAACCTTGAACTTCACTCCATTCATAGCCTCAAGCTGCACACTGCTTGTTGATAAACTTTCTGATATTTTAGTACATTGCTGTGTAATGTGCACCCCACTGAAAAGTTCCTGTCTCTACTTATGTGCTCATTCAAATCTCTGGCTTGGTTTACCTGTTAGACTTTGATATACACCCTGATTTTCCATAGAACTGACAGCAGGCAATAGGATCTTCATAAAACCCGCACGGGTAACAGCGTTCAGACCAGAAGAGAGGACAAGTACGTGCCTGAGCCGTTGCTGTGTGCTGGTGTCATTTTAGGTCCTCTACCCAAGCCATCTAATTTAATCCCCACAACAGCTTTGGATGTAACTGAAGTTTCATTACTCCCATTTCCAAGATGAGGAAAAGCTTAGAGAGGTTAAGTAATTCTTTCCATCTTTCACAGGGATCTTCAGGGATAGCCCTAGCTGAGGCCTCTTTCCTGCCAAAACCTCTGGTTGCTTATCCACTTTGGTAGACTGATTTTCCTGACTCCAAGAGGGACTTAATCTCTTTTTCAGAGACATCACTTCATCTGTATGTTTTCATTCTCCCCTTGACCTTGGTACCCCCACAAAGCCATTATTCCCGAAGAATCCTATTCTAAACTGGTCTTGTCAGTGACATACTAGTAAGAGTTAAGGGTGAACCCACTTACCCAGCAGGGCAGGCGGGGAAGCATAAAGACAACCTAAAAAAAAAAAAATCACATCCGATCTTTCTCCCCATAAGCAACAAATAATCTACAGTAAACTATGAAAAAGGCTCACTTGACTGTGTGTAGCTCCCACTATCTTCACGAGAAAATGCCATGAATGGCATTAGTACCTGTCAAATAGAATTTGCCTTTTTTTCTGTCAAAGCTTAAACCACCAATAAACTTGCTCAACTGCATGTCCCCTTGGGGTATAGCAGCCAAGATAAACCATGAGCAGAATGGGTCCCTGACAAGTCAATCTCCATCAATGAAACTTAGGTAAGCATTAGAGAAGGTGGGATTAAGAATGTCTAGCTCTCAAGGTTGAGATCTTGGAAGTGGGTATCAAGGAAAGTTGGGATGTTCTTAAAACATTGAAGAATGTGGTAGCTTTCCTTGTTTGAAGGAGATTTTTTAATGCATATGGATAATTTATACAATAAGGATTACATGGTTGTTCAGGAAGTTTCTCTAAGAATCCATGCACATGTAGCCCCATGATAAACTGTAAAAGTTTACTTCATGTTGAATATTTATTTTTCAACAATTATTCTCCCTTTAATGACTTTTTTTTAACCATCTTGGGCTTTTAGAACTTACTATTTTCCCCTGACCCTGGGAATCTGCTCTCTCCAAATAGCTAAGGGTCCTACACCTCATCTTCAAAAGCTGTTGGACCAGATGACTGATTCAGTGACAGTCAACTTGGAGCGAATACATAATAGCTCATAATGACTGACAAGGTTATACATCCAGAAAACAAAAGTTTGCATTTTAGCTTGTGTCCGAATCCTAGGAATAAATATTTCAGACTTTCTTATTCTTTAGCAGAGACGAGTCAGAGAGAGATCTGTGATGTGGGCTGTCTTCTGCAGTCCTCAGATCAAAACATCTGCCAACCACCTGTCTGCAATGCCATTCTACTCGCTCCTCATCTGTTGCTTCTCCCAATGTGCCCATTCTTTTAATGTTTCAAAATCTGGTTACCAAGGCAGCTTTCCCTTATATCACCCACATCTTTAAGTCCATCAATGCCTTTCCTCTCCCAGTAATTCTTTTCCTTCATTAAAACGTAACTTCTCAACCCAAGAAATCTTACCGATACAATTCAATTGGTATAGTTCCCTATAGTTCAGTAAATCTCAGCAAATCTCTCCCATTTTTCTACTTCCAAGTTGAGGTTATGCCTAATGTCAAGATTATTAGAATAGCATCTTGGGAATGTTTCCAAAGCCAAAACAAATTTAGTGCAATTTGGAAAAAGAACAAGAAAGAAAAACAGATCGCCTACCGACTTACATCCAATACCAGGAAGAACAAGAGACACAATGATAGTAACAGTACTTGCCTCCACTCAGCAGGGCACCTCTTACCACAATGGAAGTGGTCAGGAAGGAAAAGGGGGGAGGAGACATTTACATAATTTGGGGCCACAGATAATTTAGGACCTGTGAGCACAGACTTTTCACATGGAGGAAACATGATATGAAAACACAAACACTTCCGTTTCCATTTTTGAAAGGTAAGGCTTTGACAAGGAGCTTCTATGGTTTTGTAAACCCAAATTCTCCATGATCAGCACTAAAATGTGACTACAGGTAAAACAGTCTGGTTAGAGTACATGAAAAGACAGGAGACTGGCCTTAGACCGAACAATCCTAATGGCCACCAGACAATTCATTCCACCTTCCAGACGCTACAAAACACCGAATGTCAGAAAGAGCCAAAAAACTGTCATCAATCATTTAGAGACTTCTAGTACATTCGGATGTCCCCTGTCATAGAAACAAATTATCCAGATGTCAAACAAATTTTTCAGTTTCCACTTGAAAGCTTTGAGTCACCTAGGTCTAGTCAACATTGAATTAATTGTTTTCTTTTTCCTCCAACACTGCAAGGATCATATTACTGAAAACACTATTGTTATATAGTAGGGTCCAGAGAATGTGGTTAATCCGATATTCTAGTTAACTGAGTTATACCCCCAATTACGCATCGTATTGATTTTGCATCATTATTTTTATTCATGTCTTTGTTTATATCTCATCTTCCCTTCTTCACAAAAAACTCAAGGAAAAGGTCTAAGGGAAAGCAACCTCACATTCATGACATTTTTAGTAACATGCTTTACACACATTATTTTTCACTAATAGATGTTTACTGAATGGTTGAATCTACAATGTCTGGATGACTGATATTTGAAGACCTTCATTGCAAAGACAAAGCACACATGAGTATATCCAATGCAAGTGTGCTTTCTTGATTGTACTGAAAACATTTTAGGTTTTCGTGGTACCTCAAGGTCATCATTGCAAATGTTGAAGGCTGAGGTATAAAGCTGGGGAATGCCATTTAATAGAGGGCCAGGTGATATGACGGTACAACATCGTACACCCTTGTATGACACCTTGCACAATTTCTAGTACCTACAGGATAAAGACCAAATTCACATACATCCCATCATGGTGTATTCTTTGCCCGGATCTCTATATTTGCATCCTGAGCTCACACATTTATCCTAGTCTCTGTACTTCATGTTTTTGATTTTCACATCCTCAGAGGTACCATAATTTTTCCTGCTACAAGCCCTGAGTATGCTATCCCTCTACCAGAAGTTCTCCCATCTGTTCTTCCCCATCCCTAACCAGACAATGTCTGCTTGTCTTTGGAGATGGCTTCTGCTTCAGTAGGAGTGAAGTCCCTTGATTATAGGCCCTTACAGCCCTCAGAACGTGCATTGTAGCTTATAATTATGTATTCATAGAAAGGTCACTAGAATAATGTTGATTTTTCTCCCACTACACTCTAAGCAGCACGACAGCAGGGTCCTTATCTGGTCTGCTCACCATCAGATCAGTGGTGCCTAGCACAGTGTTTAGCAGAAAAGAGTCACTCAGTAAATATGTGTGAATAAATCAATGAATAAGTGTGATTTTGCCTTCTGATTACTGCATATATAAAAATATATAAGACATACATACTCACGAACACATACACACACACACACATATATACACACATGGCATACACACTAGTGTTTTTTATTCAGAATACTTATGCAAGGTTACACAGGCAGTGAAGTATCTTAAAGTGTATTTTAAATAGCAGGTGACTCATTAACCGGGACCCTATGAAAACTCCTTAGAATGCTCATTACTCGAAGCCCAAGTACTCTGTTTCCTTCAACAAATATATTGTCCATTGGTAATACTTAAATCTGATGCTGATACGGAATGTGCCAGAGATTTTGGTCCACATGAAAATGACTTCATCCTGCTGGCTTCAACATGAACTAATATTTATCAGCAAGAGCATTCAAGACAACGTGACCTCTTTTGAATTCAAGGAATCAATGAAAATGTCAATTACTGCTAGATGGACAGGCAGAAAATAATACATTCTTGTCTGTACTCCCCTTGTCCTGCAGGACTTAGGCTCCTGTTCCATTTTCTGAACAATCCAGTAAAATTCAATTTGCTTTTCCAATTTGTCTCCAGCCAAGCTTCCTTCTGTCAGCTCTGCAGACATTTCAATGCTGGCCACGCAGAGTAACAGGAGAAGGACAACGAGAATGAAATTACCTGTGCATTTGCGGTCTGTGTCTTCTTTCTTTGACCCACTAATCGTCAACTTGCAGTTGAAGTTTTCCTCCCAGTATTCAGCAAACCATACATTTCTTCTGTTGTTTTCAAGCGTGCGGGACGTAAAATAGGCATCAAACCCTAAACAGAGTTAAATGAAAAGGTCATTGCTTACAGGGCACTGCTGCTGGAATGTTTGGAAATAAAAATACCAGTGATGGTTTTTCTTTGTTTTAGTAGACCGGCTGCTCTTTTGTGTCAATCAAAAAAACAAAAAACAAAAAAGGAAGGAAGGAAGGAAGGAAAGAAAAAAATTTTTAATGCTACCTACTAACCTATGGCTAACTTTCTAGTTCAGTCTGTCAGGTAGATGTGTGGACTACAAATGGCATTTTCATTAGAGACCGTAGGAATGACACAACGATCACAGCATGCCATGTGCCTCTAGTGACCAGGGACAAAATGTCCTCATCATCACCAAGATAATAAGTGATAATTTCAGTGCTTCTCACTATTGACCAGATTCTGCTTCACATGGATTCTTTTTTTCTTCCCCATTCACCTCCAAGCCTAGGTGGCAGTTACTATCACTTTCATTTTGCCGATGAAAAAAGAGAGCCTTAGAAGAAATAATAGTGTGTCCAAGGTCAACCATTATCCTGTATTCTGCATCCCTAACTGTGTGAGCTACTGACCTATGATTATCATTTTAAGAAGCCTCTGGCATTTAATAATGACCCATTATGTAACTGACTTTCCAGTCAAAAGGAAAGTAAGTTTTTGAAGAGGCCATAGGTATGACCCCAACATAAGCTTACTGCTGTTCATATAGAATTTAAGACGAGCAGACTCAAGAGAGCAAATCCCCAGGAAACCTCTAGCTACCTCTTTAGGACGGTGCAGCCTTAAATGTTCCAATAGAGTCAGAGGTCCTGTGGGGATCAGAACAGATTCAACATCACAAGGCCTGGGCTTGAATTCTAGCTCCACTCGTCTCACAAGTCATCGCAAGATGTGCAAGTACACGCTGGACCTTTCTTATCTTCCTTTCATTTACCTGCAGGATGAAGATGACGCCACCTGCGTGCCTCACAGCCCCTTGTTTGTAGCCATAGCAAGAACCAGAAGAAGAGAGACTTGCTTTCACATGATTTCCATTATTCAAAATTTCCCCTTAACCTTATTTAAGGCCATGAGGAAAAACAGCTCCCAACTCTCAACTTCACAAGAGGACCACATCAGATTAATTTTATTCACCACTACCTTCCCAGCACTGAATTCACAGCCCAACAGACATATAGTCACAAAATTTGAAATAAGTAAGTAAGACAGAAAGAAAAAAGAAAAAAAGAAACCTATAAAGCACAGGACATTATCTAACATTTTAGGGGAAACAGAATATTCTATATCTCTTGGATTATTTCCAAGAACAGGATTCTTGACCTGGCATCCAGGCAAATACCCTTTTATATCCCCTGCAGTAACTGGCTTGAGAGTAATCCAGCTGTAGTATCTGATTTCACATTAATATCAGTACTGATTGATCTGTCAGTCTGGCAGAAAGCCCTCCTCCCACCTCACTGTTCTCCCCCATCCCTGCCTCCAGACGTCTGTTCAGGAGAGTAACAATGCCTAAATCAAGTGGAATCTTTGGGGAAAAGATAGAAGAGCTCCCCAGCGTTTCTGGAACACTACATGTATGCATTTGGTCATGTATATGCACACAAGCACTCACACCTGGTGACTAATTAACTTTCACTTTTTTCTCCATCTTTGCCCTCGCCCTCATCACAAGGGGAAAAAAAAAGCAACAGTGATTGACTGCAACTGTGGGGTTCCTAATGGACTGTGTTTCCTTCACGCCCTTATGTGGCCTCCTCTGACTTAAGCTGCTTCTTTGTTCATGGGACAACGCTAAGTGCAATACAAGCCGAGGCTGGAAAACACTTTGCTCACTGTACCTCATCTTGGGGTGACTCCTTATTGGAATCCAGCGACCAGCTCGAAGAGGAGTGGCTCGGGGACGTGAAATCACGTGGAAAGGGAGGAGTCGAGCCAGACCCCAACCCTGTCAGCAAAGCCTCTGTGAACCCTGCAGCCGTCCAGCTGACTGTGGTAGAACCACTTAGCTGAAACCAGCCCCGATTGCAAGCCGTGTTAATAAGTCTTAAATCACTAACACGTGAGGCGGCTCCTTCTGCAGCGACGGAGAACAGAAACACTCCTTCATGATCACCGCACCCTGAACCCCTCTCTGAGCGATACCCAAGCAGCACACGCTTATGGAAGAAGCAGCCTCGACAAAACACATACAGATACAAACTCTATGGCCACATGCCACGGGTCTAACCTCAAGCCAGACTCAGAGTAACAGCTAGGAAAATGGCTCAAATTGTAGCACCGATACATACATTCTCCAGCTCAGGAAGAAACATCTTCACAGAAAAAGTCAATTACCTCAAAACATCTCTCTCTTCAGCCTCTGCTGAAAATGCAAAAACGCGCTGGTGAAAGAAGGAAGGGCGTTAAAGCTAAGACGCAAGTAAAAGACGGCGGCGCATTTGAAAGCGTGGAGAGGACGCTAACGCAGCAGGCACCTCCTCCTGTTCTAAGCGAGAACCAACAGGCTTCCGGAAAGCCTGCACCGAGCAGGAAGGGGGCGAGAGGCAGGCTTTCCTCGTCTGGACCCCTGTCTTTTACTCACACACCTAGTTCACTCTCAGCTCCCTTCGCCTCCTCTCCTTGCAGCAGGGACTCACTTGCAGGCTGAACACGGCTTTCACTTCCCCAAGGCACGCGCGTCAGCTTCCCGGGCACCTCACTGGCTGCAGGTTCCGGTTCCGGTTCCGGTTCCGGTTCCGGAGCTCTGGGGTGGGACCAAAGCGGCTACTTCCTCTACAAGCCCCAGGTGCTGTGCGAGTAGCGCGCGCTCTGAGAAGCCGGGCTTCTCGAATCCTGAGTTTTTAACAAGACCCAGGTGATGCTTCTGTTGCCCAGACTTTGACAAGCAGGGTTCTAGAGCAAATCCTGAGCTTCCGCAAGTGGGATTTAAGCAGTTCCAGCCCGATTTGTTAAATCTGAGCATCGTTACCTTCTCAGCCTCTTACCTTTGCCCTGGTTCGGATGAGAGGGTCTTCACTTTGCTTCTGTGGTTGAGACTTTTGCTCAGTACCCTGCTCCGTATGGCAGGAGCTCTGCCTGGCATCCAGTGACCCGCGGGTGAATTTTCCTTGTGTGTTCACTTCATTTCTACACCCCTGAACACTGTTGCTTGGGGCTCCTCTGCAGCCTCAAAGGCTGTGTTCCTCCCCTGTGTCTCCTGTTATCATTCTGGGCTCCCCAGCCGAGGAATTTCAATCCTGGTGCAATGTTTTAGTGTTTCTAAGGAGATAATCTGAGATAGCCTCGTGTCTTCACTACCTCTTCTGAAGGCCCATGGCCTTGAGGGGAAACTCAGAGCCCTCAGCCAGGTACCAGCATAGCATACATTGGCTTTTGGGTAGTTTCCTGGAGATATGAACTTTCCTGTCGGTAGAAAAGCCACACCGTGTGGTGGTAAACTAGACATCACAGTCACAATGGCAGGTTTGAACTGCATGAACCTGAGCAGATTACTCAAGTTTCCTTGTCAAATGGAGTTAACATTAATACCTACCTCATAGGGTTGTTAAGAGGATTAACCGAACTGTTATTTGTAAACCACTCAGCATTGTGCCTTATAAAGTAAAATATGGACTGTTGATTCTTCAATAAACACACACATCCGTTTAATATTTACTGAGCTTCTACATTGTGACAGGCATTGTTCTCTGCACTCACAAACTTGGGGAATAAAATATACATGGCCCCACGTGGGATTTAGAGCCAGCCTGGTAGGGAAGACTTGAAAAAGTATCATTTAAATAAATATAAAATTACAGTTGTGATCACTTCTATGAAGGAAAGTTACATGGTGTCTTGGGAGAACAGAGATAAAACTGTGTTAGGGAGTCAGAAAGGGCTTCCTGGAGGGAGTAACTGCACTGATGAAAAAAGGGAAACATAATTTAACTGGGAGTGGGGATGGGCAGAGATTTGGCATTTATTCAGATGGGACAGCATATGCTAGGAATACTGAAGTCACTCTAGCATTACAGAATATTCCAGGACAACTGGGCCTCAAAAATGAATGCATATAAATAGCCCATCTTCTATAAATATGCAACTCAGTATTGCTATTAAAATTCTAATAATTCAATGGCATAAACGTTTATCCAATGAATGGATGTTTGTCTCCAAGCAGTTGTCAGAAGTCCTGAGGTCAGACAGATTTCTATTTGGTCATATAAAAAGCTGTACCAATAGTTATGTTAGAAAAATAATAAGCATTATATATGCATTTTTTTCATTAAGTGTCACATAAATCCTAGAAAGTAGGTACAAATTTTATTCATACTTTAGAGGTAGAAACAAAGGCTCAGAGAGAAATCTGGGCCCAAGTCTGGCTAATTCCAGCTCCTGGTGTTTGCCCCCATCCTGTAGAGCAGAGAGTCACAGCACTGGGTGGGCATCCCAGTCATCTGGAGAGCTGATAGCATGGAGGCCGGGCTCACAGAAGAAGTTCAGATCTGGGTCTTTTTGTTTTTTTCCCAAGTTCACTACAGTTCCTATAGCCTAGCAATTTTATCTGTTTTTTAAATCTATTTTTATCTGTTTTTTATAAGGAATAGGCTATTTAATACAAGATGTGCAGTCACCAAGGTGCAACAGAGTCCGAGATAGAAGCAGAAATTAGAATAACTCTCATCTAATAATATCTGTCTAGAGGTGTGTGTCTGTGTGTATCACAGTGAATTGATATTTTCTTCTCATTTCTACTAGAACTCAGAAGAAAAGTGATCTGAACACACATCCTTTTATTATGAGTTACATTTTCTGAGTTTTAAAATGTAACCCAAGGAACCAAGATGAGGGTTTGAGGTCACAGGAAGCAGAATAAGAATTATGTTAAAGGAGAAAGGTCATTCTTTTATGTAGCGCTGATGAAATTCTTAGTATTAAAGTGTTCTTTTTGTTGGACAGATGATTTTAATTTCAGAAAGTAATCTGCAGGTGATTCTAAAGCAAATCTCCCATCAGGTACATGTTGAATGATTTTCCTA